TAAGAAATCCTGGGAAGGCAGAAGGAGAGGCCTCAGAGGATGTAACAAAAGGGAAGAAGAACTGATGTGTGAGTAAGCTTGTGTACCTGAATAAAGGATACCTAATCTGATGACTTTTACTTTACTTCCTTTGTGGAGTAGGAGTCAAGAATATCTACTCTGATACAAGGGGATAGAAGATTAAAGAGAGAAGAGAAAATAGGGAAAGCCATTGTACAAAGTAAGAGTGAATAGAAGGGACAGGACAGTTAAGATCGTGGTGGCTTGTGCTGAGTATCCACTTGAAATTGGCAGCTTTCCATTGGTAGTGGTGGCCCTCGATATTTCCGTGTGATGTTTTCTGAGAGTGTTTGGCCACTTGAAGGAAGTTGTGTTATAGAGTAGAGCCTGATTCCCAAGTAGACAAATAAGTTGAGGGAATTTTCAGTGAAATTGTTAGGAAAACCTTATAAGAGCCATTGTGAGGCCAGGTTTCCCACTGTTCCAAAGAGATGGGTGTAGCTATGATATCTCTCATCTATCCCATGGCGCAGTAGTAATTTTCAGCTTTTATCAGCTGCTGGGACTCATCAGCCCCGCTCCTGGGACTTGTCTTTCTCTCTTCTGGATTCTTCCTTACACACTTGTTAGATGCAGTCCCGAGAGGAGAAAATTTGGGACTTATGGCACAGGAAAACATGGTGACTCCAGACGGAGAAGCTGTGGAATCAGAACTCTAGCACTTTAGAGTAACCGAGACAGTGTGCAAGTCCAGTGATCTCATTACAAGAAATATCTTAAATAAATTCAATGTCATCATTATTACAAAGCACAAAAGAGCCCTCCTTGGCTGATGATTAAGCAATAGTCCTCATTTGCAATCCACAGAAACTTAATAAGCAATTGGGCAACAAAAGACACAAATTTCTTATCTTATTAGAGTGAGCGTATGTTTTTCTTTCTTAAGTGATGATAATGTGTTAAGTCCATTTTAATAGAGCCTCAAGTTCTTACGCAGAGTGTTTAGCATCTCAAAGACATAATAAGCAAGGCATTCCCCTTCTGATCTTGTCAACCTACCAAAAGTATGCTTCCTATTCATGTTCCCAGCATAGTATATTGCTGAACATCTGAACATAGAAAAGTACAGAGTTTAATTTGAAAAATTTTAACTTTTCATTTATTTATTTTAACGTTTGTTTTTGAGAGAGAGAGAGAGAGAGAGAACAGAGAGAGGGAAACAGAATCCCAAGCAGGCTCTGTGCTGACAGCCTGATGTGGGGCTTGAACTCCTGAACTGTGAGATCATGACCTGAGCTGAAGTCGGGTGCTTAACAGGCTGAGCCACCCAGGTGCCCCTGAAGTTCTTTTACCTAGTTCCATCAGGTAAGTACAGTAGTAGTAATGCCTGTTTATTTTAAAGAGGCACTTATGCTTAGATTTTGCCTACATTGCTATGACCTTTGTTTTTCCCTTGTGCTGTTTTCTTTCCCTACTCAGCACTAACCTAAATATGGCATATATTCTGTTATTCTCACATAACACATAGTTCTTCTCATTTACATTTTGGAATTTTGCTGTGAATATACATAATCCTTGCTGGTCCTTTGGCAAGGAATGAAATTTCTGGGATTTGGTGCTAAATTCCAGGTTTCATTCTTTAACAATCCCAGACTTTAAGTAGGAATGCGTGTTTTCCAAAATAAAATGTTTCTCCATCATAACAAAGACTTTGCAGTTGGAAATAGGGCTTGCTGAAGCTCATTACTTTCTCTGTTGCTGTCATTTTCTCAGGCAATAGTCAAAAAGTAGTTTTGAACTTCAATTGAAAGTTAAGCCAAAGACAATTGAATTAAGCCTACAATAATTCAGGCTTTTCTGGAGGAACAAGGCTAAACTTATAAATTTTCTTTTTCTCTTTAAATATTCATAGAGAAACCTAATTGTTGAAAATCACCCTAAATGTTTTGAGTTAGAAGACACAGCTAGATTCCTTGACTGAAAGTATTTGCATAATTGTTTAAATTTGGGTGCTTTAGAGATGACCTCATCAAAGACTTGTTTACCAAATAGTAAGTTTAATGAGGTTTCCACTGAAAATGCATGGTCACAATGGGTCAGAATAGTATAATATTCAAACAAAGACCTCACATTTTACTAATATATAGGTCTTTATAATTAAACTGCTATAGTTTAATGAACCTGAGATTTTATAGATGCTTTACTGCTTCTTGAGAGTGATGAAATCTTGATGGAGGAGGGCCTTAAACAAATACAATAAATATAAATATAGGCACCCAGAGGCTTTGGCTGTAAGATATGATATTTTTAGTAGTGCATGATCATCACTCAAAGCCATTGTTATTGTATCCTAGGCTTATTCAAGGACGTGATTACTATCTTCTGCAAGCTGTTCAACCTAGCACTCAAAGCCTTTCGACCAAGTTTCTTCCTCCAGGAAGCTCCCTTTCCTCCACTTCTCATGGCCCCCCTCATAACATCAAAACAACGTGCAGCTTTCCCGTACACAGAACCCGATTTTTCTTTCCTCCACATCTTAGAATGCCATCCCTTTTGCTCCTGTTATTTGTGCTAAGTTCATGTTGTCTTTCACAATTTGATATATATTTTTTTTCTAATAAACAACAAAGAAACCAACTTTTGTAATGAATTCCATATGGCTCTTCAAACCTCTATTTGCCTCCGCTTTCTTTTGTGGGAAATCAGGAATAAGTTGTGTTACTATTTTTATCTTAAAATTTTTTTAATGTTTATTTTTAAGAGGGAGAGAGAACACAGGGGGAGAGGCAGAGAGAGAGAGATTGAGAGAGAGAGAGAGAGAGAGAGAGAGAGAACGCATCAGAAGAGGGCTCTATGCTCAGAGCTGTCAGCACAGAATGCGGGGCTTGAACTCACCAACCACAGAACCCAATGCGGGGCTCAAACTCACCATGAGATCATGCCCTGAGCTGAAATCAGAGGCTTAACTGACTGAGCCACCCAGGCACCCTGCTACTTTTCGCTTTAAGATTTCGAACCAATCCATTTAGATTCACTCTATGTTGAGAATAATGCTAATACTATTTTCCTAGTGGATTTGTCGTCATGATTAAACAAGTTGATGTATTGAAAGTATTTAAAACTGGCACACGGTAAAGTCTTAATAAATATTACACTAAAGCAAATACCTGTATTTTCTGTATACAGTAAGTGGCTGAAACTTTTCCAAGCCTTTGCTTGTGCTCAATTCACCCAGAATATGCTTCTTTCAAGAGTGACTTATAGAACTCTCCAGATAATAGAAGAATATTGAAAATTATGACCCTTATTAGAATGTCGTAAGTCACAAGAATGATTTCATTCTTGGGATATTTGAATTTTCATATCTTTTTAGATATTAGATGATGTTAAGTTGTTGGTGGTTGTTAATTATAGCACAAATACTAGTTAAGGATGTAACTCATTGTTGGCACTTACCACAGTGCTTGACATGCAGGGTCAATAAATTCAATAAATATTGTTGTTCTTGTGCTTTTCTCTCCCTTTTAAAAAACGGGCTCCATGCCCCACATGGGGCTTCAACTCATGACGCTGAAATCAAGAGTTGCATGTTCTACTATGTCAGCCAGGCATCCCTCTTTTTCTGTTGTATTTTTTGAGTGCTCAGGGTTTCTCTATCTTTTCTGGTCTCCTGAATTCAATGATTAAATTGCATTAAAAAAATGTCCAAAATGCCTTTTAAAATATTTCAAGATATATTCATTAATTAAAAACAAGTTAGTGATTCCGGGTGTGTGGGTGGCTTTGTCCGTTAAGCGTCTGACTCTTGATTTCAGATCAGGGCATGATCTCACCGTTAGTGAGACTGAGCCTTGTTGGGCTCTGTGCTGAGCATAGAGCCTGCTTGGTATTCTCTTCCTTGCACTCTCTCTGCCCCTCATCTGCACACACCCTCGCTGGTCTCTCCCTCTCTAAAATAAATAAATAAACTTAAAAAAAATAAGTTGGTGATATCTTAGAGATTATTGTGCCCATATCACTTAAAATTTATACATTCGTAACACCCTAATTTTTGAGATGACCTTTTTAAATTGGGAAAGCTGTCAAGTATCTTACCAGATATTTTCATTAAAAGAAACTTGTGTAGCACACCTGAAAATCTTCAGAATCAATTCTTTAAGTACTTAAAGAACAACTTCAACAGGCTCAGAATTGTACTGTGTGTGAATTCCGAAAAGTCTGCCACGTTAGATTACTTTAAAACCATTTAAAAAATGCAACACTTTGTTCTAAAGGAACAGCCTTTAGGCCTTGTAGGCCTTTACTTTCTAATTTTCTATAGATATTTTACCCTTTAAAAAAGACAGCTTCAATAAAGGCAAGGTCTTTCATTGTGTGCTTATTGAAAGTTAAAAAAAAAGTTTAAGAAACAAGCAATTGGGGCCCAAAGACCTTTTCAAAGATACTTTCATGGAATTTCTTTCATTTGAGAAATTCATAAATTCTTCCTCATATCCAAACATTAGCAAAAATTTGCCCTTAAGTTTTCTTTTTAAAAATAATTTAAGAAATCATTAAATATTATTGTTTTTGGACACAAGACCGCTTCCACCGACTTGTTTTGAGATACACTTCTTGCAAAAATCGAACTTCAGTTACTGGAGTGCTAACCTCCTTATTTTTGTCCCATATAAAATTGTGTTAGAATGAGATGAAGAGGGCTGATCTAGGATATTGTGTCTACACATCGTGACAGTCTCATAATATTTAATTTTGGATTGCAATTTACATCTCTTACGTGGCTCCAGGTTTCACCGAGGTTTGAATCAGCTGACTGGTGTCCGGCGAGCCTCTGAAGCGGGTAATTTGAGACCGCGTTACTAGGAGTTACTGGGAAACACGAAACTCAGTAACAAACACGGGGGCGGGATTAACGTCCGAGGCTCCGCACCGGTTCCCAACTGATTGGAAAAAACGAAGGGGGTGGAACTTCCTGACCTGGCTCTCGCGCCTCGGTCGCTAGGGACGCTTCGGCCAAAGCAACAGGATGGATCAGGAAGACGGGCTGACGGCCGTGGACAACATAGTCACTCAGTTCAACACCTATGAAGATTTCCTCGACTCGCAGATCACTACGGTGGACCTGTACTACTTGGAGGTAAGAGCTGCCGCACCGCAGAGAGGACCCCGCCTTCCTCACACTCCTTCGAGCCCCCAGGCATGGAGTGGTCGCCCCCTGGCGGTGAACTCCGGCAGCGTCAGGCTCCGCAGTTTCCCGACGGCGGCGCCAGAGCGGCGCGGAGCTCTACGGCCGCGTCCTGAACCCGCCCCGCACGGCCTCAGTCCCGCGGGAATTCGGGTCCCGCCTAGTGGCGGCCGGCGTGGAAAGTCCTCAATATCTATCTCTCCTTCTCACCTGCTGCCTCCCGGCCCATTTTCCCAAAGTCATTGCCTGCGAGGAGGTGGCGGGATCCGGAAAGCTGCGGAGACCTTGCGGTGGGCTGTGCTTCAGGTCTGGCGCGCTGTTTGTCTTTGCTTTGCCACTTTGCGTTAAAGAACTGAGGACAGTATTCTTCCAGGGCAAATGGCGACACCAGCCTGGTATATCTGGTGTTGTATTGGGCCTCTGGGTCCATAAACCTCCAAGCCACACTCGTACCCTTAATTATGGGTAGGCAGTACAGGAATATGCAGGCATATTCCCGATTTATGTTTATCGAGCTGCGAGTCACAACTAATATTGATAGTAAATAAATCCTGCTATACTGCAAAATTAGACGTAAGGGGATTGGCCACTGTCTTCCACGCTCTTCTTTAAAGGTGTGTGTTTATGGGAGAGATGATAGGGTGGGGACGGTGGAACACAGTTCTTGCCCTGTGGGAGGCAAACCAGGATGGGCTGGAAAATAAGTAGCTGCAGGTCCTGAAAGGCAGGAGGTGAGCGGTGGACCCCTACAGCCCTGGGATGCACTGCCCGGGAGATTCCGCTGTCCTGGATCCAAGAAAGCCCCAGAACGCCTCCCTCCTAATAGGCCAGACAAAACAAGCGCCACTGGGTGGTGCCAGATCACAGCCGAATCTTTGAAGGGTTTGGCTCCTGTAGACAGACTCTGTATCTGCAACAATATAACTCTGTATTTTAGTGGATTGATACTTTTGGACTCCAAAGATCATGTTGGCAAGATTTTGCTTACATGTTTACTTAAATGTCGATTGCGAGGTTTGAAAAGTGCTTTTTTTCAAAGTACGTTCATGTGCTAGGTATGAAGGCTAATTCTACATAGCTAAGCTAGAGGTACACGCTATACGTAGCATATACACCTGCAGTATTTAACCCAAGAATAAATGAGAGAACTGTTCTCTAAAGAAAGTGAAATACGTGCCTAGCAAGGAGGCCTGGTGGGAGTAAAGGGCCCAGAGAGATAATCAGAACTGAACTTGGAATAACCAAATAATGCTAGAAGCCCAGATTAGATGCTGAAGGGAAAAATAAAATCTGTAAAAAGTTACACTTACTACTAACAAGCCCTTCTTCTCCTTCTTCTTCCTGTTCTTCATTAATTTATTTTGAGAGAGAGAGGGGCAGAGAGAGAGAGAGACAGACAGACAGAGAGAGAATCTCAAGCAGGCTTCTCACTGTCAGTGCAGAGCCCAGAGCAGTGTTCAATCTTGCAAACCAGTCTTGCAAACTGTGAGATCATGAGCCGAAACCAAGAGTCGGATGCTTAATTGACTGAGCCACCCAGGTGCCCCTTGCCAAGCCCTTCATATTTTGGCAGTTAGGTTGGAGAGGGTGGGCTATATCCCAACCTTCCTTCTTCATGCCCCCATATCTTCAAGTGGAGTCTCTTTTACATATAACTTCCACAGCTCACCTATTTAGAGGAGAGTCCAATTAGGGAACTAAGCCTGTACAACTAGAGGGAATCCATACTCGTGTCAGTATCAGTTAATCCAGTCCTCTGTTCATACGGGTCTCCAGATGTTTGAGGAAACATAATAGCATGAAAGAGCTAGCCCAAGATGAATAAGGAGGATAACTAATGTCAAACAAAATATTTAAAACCCAGAGAGAACTTTAAATAAATTCTAATTTTGTATCCCGGAGACATTTTAGTATCTGTTAAGTCTATAAGCAAAATAATAGACTGCTATGAAAAGGGAGCAGTCAGAGAGCAAGAAAGAGAAGTTAAAAATATAATTGAAAGCATTTTTGAAAGGGCTAACTATTAGAATAAACACTTTTTAAAGGATAAATTAATCATTTGAAAGTTAAAAGTGACATAATTATCCAGAATATAGTAAAAAAAAAAGATAAGAAAATAAAGAATTCTATGAAAGAAAATATGAAAGAATAATTTCGTGATGCTCAATATCTACCTAATAAACTAACCAGAAAGAAATTATATAGCAAATGAAGGGGATAAAGTAATCAGTTGAATAATGAAAAAATTTTTCTGTGTTGCAGATAAGCACAAAATTGTAAGTGTCCATTAGCTGTTTAGTTGGATAAAGGAAAAAGATTCATACTTAGGTAGATAGTGGTAGAATTTTATAAATGAGAATAAATGGTAATTCAAAAATAATTCAAATTGGATTGGATGACATCAAAATTAAAAACTTTTGTGCACCAACGTACACCATCAATAGAGTGAAAAGGCAACCCACAGAATGGGAGGAAATATTTGCAGATTATATATCTAATAAGGGTTAATACCTAGAAAATGTGGTACACACACACACGCAAATATTACACAACCATGAGAAAGGATGAGATTGTGCCATTTGTGACAACATGGATGGACCTAGAGGATGAGTGAAATAAGTCAGACTGAGAAAGACAAATAACATATGATTCCACTCATAAGTAGAATTTTTAAGAAAAGTGAACAAAAAGCAGAACCAGAGTGATAAATTCAGAGAACAAATGGATGGTTGCCAGAGGGATGGGGTTGGGGGGTTGGGTAGAATGGGTGAAGGGGAGTGGGAGATACAGGCTTCCAGTTATGGAATGAATAAGTCATGAGAATACAAGGCACAGCATAAGGAATACAATCAATGATATTGTAACAGTGGTATAATGGGACACACTTGTGAACATAGCATAATGTATAAACTTGTCAAATCACTAACTTGTACACCTGAAACTAATGTAACGTATGCATCAACTATACTCAACTATACTCAAAAACCTACCCCATATTGATATACCATTTCACCTCTGTTAGGATAGCCATTAAAAAACCCAGAAAATGGGGCATCTGGGTGGCTCAATCGGTTAAGTGTCTGACTCCTGATTTCCGCTCAGGTCATGATCTCACAGTTTGTGAGTTTGAGCCCAGCATCAGTCTCCACACTGACAGTGCAGAGCTTGCTTAGGATTTTCTCTCCCTTTCTCTCTGCTCCTCCCTCTGCTCATGCTCGCTCTCTCTCTCTCTCTCTCTCTCTCTCTCAAAATAAATAAATAAATCTCTCTCAAAATAAATAAATAAAACTTAAAAATGCAAAAACCCAGAAAATACCAAGTGTTAGCAAGGATATGGAGAAACTGGAACACTGAACCACTGGTGGCAGTGTAAAATGGTGCACTTACGGTAGAGAGTGTATGGCAGCTCCTCAAAATATTAAATTTAGAATTACTGTATGATCTAGCGATTTCACTTGTGAGTATACAGCCAAAAGAACTGAAAGCAGGGACTGGAACCGATATTTGTATACCTATGTCTATGGCAACATTATTCACAGTAACCACAAAGTGGAAACAGCCTAAGTATTGATGGATCAATGAACAAAGTGTGGTACATCTACAATGAAATACTATTCAACCTTTAAAAGGAAGGAAGTTCTGACGCGTGCTGCAACAGAATTGAACCTTGAGGACAGTATCCTGAGTGCAGTAATCTAGCCACAAGAAGACAAATACTGTGTCATTGCTGTAGTCAGCAATACTGTAGTCAGATTCACAGAGACAGAAAGTAAAAAGGTCATGGCCAGGGTCTGGAGGAAGGGGAGAAGGAGAGTTACTGTTTCACTGGTACACAGTTTCGGGTATGTAAGATGAAAGTGTTCTGGTGATGGATGGGGGTGATGGTGACACAATGGTACGAATGTACTTAATACCACTGGGCTACATACTTGGAATGGTCAATTTTATATTTTGTATATTTCATACAAATTGAAAAAATAATTCAGAGTGACTCCAACTCACCTATATATCAGCTTGATGTTAGACGTTGCATTCCCAGTAGCGATTCCTAAAAGGAAAAGGGAGTAATAAACTTCTAGAAGATTTTTTTTTGAACCTAGAATTCTTTCCCTGGCTGTGTTAGATATTTTCTGTTTGGCCCTTGAGATCCACAAGCTGTCCTACCCCCAACTGTGCCCCAAAGAGACTGACTTCTGTGACTTCTTCAACTGGGCCGCCTTTCCCTTTGGCCAGTTGGGTTTAACCAGTAAGAGGCACCAGCAAGAAATTAGAAGCCAGGAGAAGAGAGAGGTTAGGCATTCCCACCCCCCACCCCAGACTCCTATACTGTGCTCTAGGTTAGTAGTTGGTATTTTTTTCCAAAAAGCCACAATTTAGTGTCTGTTTCCCTGGGCTCTATTAACTGTTCCCTCCTCTTACCACATTTGGACTAGTTAGTTAGTGGCTGTTTGTTAATAGCTTATTGTGGTTGCTAGCTGCAGGGTCTGTCATTATCTCTCTAGGATTTCTCTTAACCCTGCCTATACCTTTGTTAATTAACTCAGCGGCCACTCAGTTTCCTTCAATTACTCTATTTAAATGTGTCATCTGTTTCCTGCCTGCACTGACTAAATAAACTAAGTAATTTAGCATTCAAATGCAAGTGCAAAGGAAAGACTTTTTTTTTGGGGGGGGGGAATGAGGGACTTCTAAAACCACCTGCTGATCTTTTCTGAATTTGTAATTTGAGCAAATGCTTCATATATTTTCAAATAATTTTTCAAATTTATTACTATAAATTTGTATATAGTTCTCTTTTGTCTGTATTATGGCTCTTTTCTGATTTCTAAAATTGTTTGCATATGCTTTATTTCTACCATCAATCTTGGCAAATGTTATCTATTTTATTAGTCTTTTAAAAGGATAGGCTCTTGACTTTTATTAAGCAATCAAAGCTTCCTGGATTGATATATTTTAATTTCTGTCTTATTTATTTTTCCTGTTGTTTTCATTAATTCTCTAGTTCTATATTATTTAGGTGTCTTTGCTATTCTTTCTCTACTTTCTTCAAATGGTTAGCTGTTCATTTTCAAGCCCTTTTTTCCCCTAGAAAATACACTGATGGAATTATTTTCCATGTATTTTATTAAGGTTTGTTATATAATTTCCTTGCTCAAAATTTAAAACTCCATGACAAAATATATTATAAATAAATCAAAAGACAAGCAATGACTTGAGAATGAATATTTGCAAAATGTATAATCAACAAGGATTTGCTGTTGAGTCAGACCCTGTGAATCAACGAAAAACAGATAGAATCCGATAGAACAATGAGCAAGTTTAACAGAGGCAATTGTTATATAGACACTAGATACAATAATTATAGGAAAATTTGCACATATATAGCATACTGTCATTTATGGAAAATTTTTTTTTTAAATCAGGAAACTATATCAAATATTTCCCCCTTTCATGATGGGAGTAGTCCTCAGTAACTAACTTGCCAATATTTCTTATTGCCGGTAAAATGTCCTCCGGCAACCGAATGGCAGCCACCACTTGGTTACTCAACGCAGGTATCTTTTTGCCTCTACACTCCTGGGACTACAGTGAACTCCTTAACACTGTGAACGGGGCCTTTAATAAGATTGGAGATCCAGTGCCGGGCAACCCAGAACCAAGCAGAAAGCCCATCCTTACATTTTTATTCCTCTGGAATCATTGCCAGTAGCTAATTGTGAGTCATTCAGGGTTCAGGCAGAGAAGCAGAACACACACACAGACACATGTGCACACACACTTACCCAACACATACATGTATACGCATGTGTGTTACATGTGTATAATTCTGTGCAGAGATTTGACCTTACACAGGTAAGAGAACTGTGTAAACAGTGGGTGAAGGGCTGCTTCATTGGTATCTGATGCTGAAGCATGAAATCACTAGGACACACAGCCTGGAAGGAAAGGCACAGGAGAAATGGGGGAAACGAGCCAGCTGAGAGACATGAAGGATGAACTAGAATTCTCAAGGATGAGCTGGAACTTGTAGCAGGCCTTCACTTCTTCCAAGCCTTCAACTTTGGTGTTGGGGTGACCTACGGGAGAGGCTGGCATCTTCAGTTACAGAGCTAAACATAGCCCAGGCGTTGGAGGAGCTGAAGAAGATCTTCCAGGAATTGGAACAACTCGGTAGCTTCTTGTGCCTTCCAGGTCTATTGCAGATGTCTCTTATGGCCCAACCTAACCTGTAAATACCAAAGGAAGGAGAATTATGGGAAACTGAGTTTCTGCTTAGCCAAGTTGACAGAATACAAATTCACTACATCTGCCATTTTAACCTGTCACAAGGAGAAATAATAGATCATAGTGAGAGCTGTGTGATTTATCATAGGAGTGCAAGGATGAACTCAGGACATTAAATTTAAAAAGAATATAACTTCTATACATGTATAAAATGCATAGGAGAAAATTCTAAATTCCCTCATACCATAACTTGATGAAGAGTATATAGCAAACACTTGTAAACTTCATATTCAGTGGTTAAACATTTCAAAGTTTAGCACTGGAATAGAAACATCATAAAAATGGTTGCGAGTACTCTTAATCAAATGTAAGTGGAATCCCAGAGGAATCAGAGGAAAGTAGGGAATAAAATATATTTGGAAAAAATAATGGCTAAAAAGTTTCCAAATTTTGTGAAAACTATGAATCCATAAAGCCAAGGAAGATAATGCATTCCAAGTGGAATAAACACAGAGAAACCAATCCAAGGACCATCTTAACTGTTGAAAACCAGTGATAAAGAGAAAATCTTAAAGGAATCTAAATGAAGGGATACAGTATATAAAATAAGACCCCTCTCAGAGGTAATAGAAGGCTTTGGGCAATGGGATGACATCTTTAAAGTGTTGAAAAGTCAAAAGTCAACCTGAAACACTAATCCAGCAAAAATGTCTTTCAAAAATGAAGGTGAAATATATTTTTTTCAGTCAAACAAAAGCCAAGATAATTTGTTAGCAGGCCCACACTACAAAAAATGTTAGGTTTTTAGGTAGAAGGAAAATCATATCAGTCAGAAACTTGGATCTACACAAAGGAATCAAAAGCACCAGAAATGCTTAACGTGTGAATAAGTAAAAAAGTGTCTTTGTTTCTTTAAAGATAATTTCTTTAAAGATAATTAACCATTTAAAGTGGACAGATGGGGACATCTGGTGGCTCAGTTTGTTGAGTGGTTAAGCATCAGACTTTGGCTCAGGTCATGATCTCACGGTTTGTGGGTTTGAGTCCTGCGTAGAGCTCTGTGCTGACAGCTCAGAGTATGGAACCTGCTTCAGATTCTGTGCTTCCTTCTCTCTGCTCCTCTCCTTTCTCAAAAATAAACAAACATTAAAAAAAAAAGGACAGATGACTTACGATTCTACTAGTGGTAGTGGTTGGTGAGGCAACCAACTTCAGCTTTCTCCTTGTTTTCTCAGTAGATCTTGTTACTTGTTACAATATACATTAGTGTAGATGAGTGTAGAACTATCCAGATGATTTTGTGTGGCCAGATAAGGCACACAGAAATGCACAACTCACTCCATATATGAGATTAATACAGCAATTTTTAGTGTTCTTTATTATAGAAAATACTGTGTTGATCACAAGCCATTTATATTCTTCTAGAAAAACCCCACAGTCTCGCAGAGTTTAGCTGAGAGCTCTTCCCATATGCTCACTTTCAGTAATAGTTTTGTGCAAACTTACACTCAAATCATCTCTTTTGTAAATCAATTCCAAAATCATTGGGTTTTTTTTTTCCTATTAAATATTAATTCCACTAGGTGGAGTCCTTTGCTTAGTTTTTGTGGTTCACACTAAAGAGCCTAAAAATAACACATCTAATAAGCGGGTAAACAAGTCAGAAAAAAGACAACCCTCCCAAGATCTGGCGCTTTGGGCTATATTAGCTTGGCAAATGTATCCCCGTTCCTACACAGAGTTCACTACAGTTGAACCTTGAACAGCAAGTTGGTTAGAGGCACCAAACCCGGTGCAGTCAAAAATCTGTATATAACTTTTGAGTCCTCCAAAACTTAACTACCAATAGCCTACTGTTGACTGGAAGCCTCACTGAGAACATAAACAGTTAAACAGAGAACTTAAACAAAACATACACATTTTGTATGTCATATGTATTACCTGTGTATTTTTACAATAAAGTAGGTTAGAGAAAAGGTAATGTTAAGAACATCATGAGGAAGAGAAAATACACTTACAGTACTGTATTTATCTAAACCATAAGTTTACATCAGCTATTTACAAGATGAATTGTCTGTCAGTACCTACAACTATATTTTTCTACAGGATGCAGAACACTGTAGATGTATATATTACTCATCCCAGACATGAAAAATGAAAAGATAGTGTACAGTCTGTAAGTGTTGATAAATTTTAGCTTTTTACAATAGATTTGTGTATGTCTTATGGTAGTAAATGATAAACTAGACTAGTCTATATTTTATGCATTTATGACACATGTAACTTTTTCCTATTTTTTTCATTATTTCTAGTCTACATGATTCATTTGTGAGTTTTTTCAAGTTGTTGCAAATCTCCAAATTTCCAATATATTTATTGAAAAAATTATGTGTATATGTGAACCTGCACAGTGCAAACCTTTGTTGTTTGAAGGCCAACTGTATTTTCTTTTAATGTTTAGAAAAGGAAAGTAGCAAGTTTTCTAAGTTGGTAGTGTCTAAATTTTTTCTTCCCAATAGTTTGAACTTTAAAACAGCCCCAAAGGGTTGAACCAGACATCTTAAGTTTTCTCATTTAATCCCGTCAGATGGTTCTTGTATTCAACAGTGATGTATTCAATAAGTGTCTATAATGAAAAAATATATGCTGTTTTCACTATAGTTCAGATATGTCATATTTAAGATGATATAAGGAACATTATTAATATATACATATTTAAATGTAATACTATAGTCCTTATCAACAACCTAATATAAGATGACACCTCTTCAGATAATAGGGAAACAATATTTCTTCTTTTTTGAAAATGCGATACAAGTGACAAATGTATGGGGCATTTCTAAAAAAAAGGCCTAAAGGGTTGTTGGGAAACTTTTTCAGCTTGAAGCTTTTTTGTTGCCATCTTCTTGGGTTTCTACTTTTCTCTTTATATTGGTACCAACATTATATGGAAACAATATCTTTCCAGCTAAATAGGAAATTCATCTGCTCTTTATTTTGTATTTGAAGTTTTAATGCTCTGTGTCATCAGTTCATTGACCTCAAGGAAGGAAGTCTCTGAAATGTTGAACTTTATGGGAGCAACACAATTCTCTTTTGGTGTAATTGTTTTTTAAAAAAGTCTTTCTTGTATGAGTACTATTGTCTCCAGCTTTATTGTTTTAAAGATGCTCTATTAATTATCTACAGCTGCTCTCATAAATGGATTAAAAACACAACAGACTTTTGTCCTCCAATCCCTTAGAGAAAATCTAGTGACTGATGTTATTTCCCCCCTTTTTTTCTTCATCTTACATCTGTGGGAAAGGGAAGACGATTCAGATGTTTATGAAAGTATTGTTAGAAAGGATTCTGAGTTTTCATATCTAATATGTCTCATTTTTCAAATTAAGTCTGATTTTTCCTTTAAAACAATTATTCGGTATCTATTGAATGAAGTAAAACGTCTAATTCGCGCGTAAGCCTTACAGCTGATTTTTCTCTTTAGGATGAAGGCCTGGCTCGCCAGTTGGTGGAGCTAGGCTACCGGGGGACCGGAGAGGTGGTGAAAAGGGAGGATTTTGAAGCAAGGAAGGCAGCTATAGAGATTGCAAGGATGGCTGAAAGAACTCAGAAAAAGTAAGTGTCTGTGTTTCCAGTCTGGGTTTTCTATTCTGTTGGAAAGTCTCTGGGAAAGCCCAGTTTCAATGGTATCATTGCCACTTAGAAACACGGGCTGGAGCAGGTAGAACTTGGGGCACCCTCAGCATGTGCTCGACAGACCCGGGACTGAAGGAACTGCTTGCAGGAAGCCACGTGCAGCTTTGAGCTACTAACTTAAGAAACAGAAGTATCAAAATACAGTCATTATATGAAAAGAGTCTTGTTAGATAGTAATTCAGTGTTACTGGCTGTATGTATTTATGTGGTAAAGAATATGAGTGACTTTTGTCTTAGAATTCTTTGTACTTTTGAGACCTCTACATCTTTGGCATCATTTATGTTCTTACATTTTTGTGAACATTGATTCATTCAACTTTATTAATGTGACTAATATGTAGCTACATAAAAGAGGAGTCTAATTAAGAATATTAAACATATTATAAAAGAGATGTACACCTAAAGTGAACTGTATCAACTGATAAGCCAATTTGGAAGATGTGACAAAGCAGGGTGCCTGGGTGGTTCAATGGGTTAAGCGTCTGACTCTTGATTTTGGCTCAGGTCATGATCTCATGGTCATGACCTCATAGTCATGAGATAGCCCCACATGGGGCTCTGTGCCGGGTGTGGAGCCTGCTTAAAATTCTCTCTCCCTCTCCCTCTGTCCCTTCTGTGTCCACACACGTGTAAGTTCTCTCTCCCTCTCTCTCTCAAAAAAAAAAAAAAAAAAAAGAATTAAAAAAGATGTGACAAAGCAATTATCTATTTACTTTTTAAAAATGAATGCTAGTGTTGTAAAAGAGAGGACAATCACTTAGAAATGGGTGTATTCTCAAGAATAATTTTAAATTACCCCATAATTATGAGTAGAAATTTCTCATGTATTTAGTATAACACATAACATTTGGTTGTGGAACATGAACTGGTTCCTGGAGTGTGCAATTTTAATTGATTGTTCTAGTAGTTACTGTGTTTCATTACCATAGAATATTGGAATTCAATATATTGACATTTGGTAATGTATTAGTTATCTGATGCTGTCGTAATACATTACTACAAGCTTTGTGGCTTAAAATAACACAAATGTTTTTATTCATATGTCAGAAGTCAAGAGTACAGTGGCTCACTGGGTTCTCTGCTCAGTACATCACATGGTTGAAATCCTGGTGTTTGCTGGACTGAGCCCTCCCCTGAGGCTCAGAGGATGAATCTTCTTCCAAACTCATTCAAGTTGTTGGCCTGTTCCTTGTGACTGTGGAACTGAGACCCCCATTTCCTTGTCAGCTGTCATTCTGGGGGCGGGTCTTTGTGGGGGCTGGGCTGTGGGGTCCTAGAGGCTGCCCACATTCCTCCTCATGCTTTCCTCATGGTCCCCTTCTAGCAAGAGGAGGTCAAGATTCTCTCACCCTTCAAATCTCTCCAAGTTCTCCTTCTGCAGCCTCTTTCCTGATTCCAACCAGAGAAAGATCTCTCCTTCTAAGGGCTCATGTGGTCACACTGGGTTTATCTGGATTATCCTGACAATCTCCCTGTTTTGCGGTCTATAACCTTTGTTACATCTGCAAAGTCCCTTTTTCCATGTAATGTAACATGTTCACAGTTTCTAGGAATTAGGACAGGGGTATCCTTGGGGGTGGGCATTCTTTTACCACAGGTAGTTTACACAAAAGTTCGATAATGTATTCAACATAGTTACGCATGACTTCTGTCCTTAAAAGTTGGAAGTATAACTTTTAAGTTATATATAACTTTATGTATATATAACATATACATAAAAACAAAGTATATGTGTACAATGTGATGAGTCTTATATAAAATATCAGGGGAGTCTTCTCTTTCTGTATTAGTAAATGTTTATCAGGAGCAGAAGTGCACAGGGTTTTGAGAGATTTTGCAAGAAATTAACGTATATTCATATTTTATTAGAGATGTGCCCTATTTCATATTAAGAGGAGTTGGTCATGGTTAAAGTGTAAGTGTACATGTCCATTTTGTGTTCAAGGATCAAAGTGAGTATTTACTCTATGCAGCAGTCTCTTTAACTGGCCAGAGCTGGAAGTCATCAGACTCCTTAGTACCAACCATGGGAGGCTAATCCCCACCCAGTGTTGCTCGAATCCTAAGGCCCTTTCATCTGCAGATCTTCTCTGAATGGTTTAGTGATGGGACAGGCCCCATGTGTTGCCTCTTGTCCCATGTAGGAGTCACTTTGCTCCCTTCCCTCTCAGGTTGGCTGTAGTGTTCTTGACAGCAGGGCCAGCAGAGGGCGACCTAGAGCCAAATATGCCCTGGGCTTAGATTTGCTGGAGAATCACTTTGAAAATAACACACAAACATCTGCCCATATGCCAATTGGTGCCAACATGGGAACACTTGATTCTACTATCAGGTTATATTATATTAACTTTTCTATGTACAAGTGAGGAGTCCCAAGTGGATCCCAATCTTTTGCTCTGGTAATCATAGAGCACCCATGGTGGGGTACCTGGGTGGCTCAGTTGGCTGAGTGTCCTACTCTTGAATTCAGTTCAGGTCATGATATTAGGGTCATGGGATCATGCTGTCAGAGTGGAGCATGCTTGGGATTCTTTCTCTCTCTCTGCCCCTCTCCCCCATTTGCATGCTTTCTCTCTCTAAAAAAAAAAAGGAAAAGAAAAGAAAAGAAAAAAAAATGCTGGCACCTAAGAGTATGTTACTTTGATTAGTCTCAGAGGGGAAGGAGTCTAGAGAGAAGAAAGTTAGATATTGGGAGGGAGCATTGTGATGAAGGGGTATTTTGATAATTATGTCTCCAAAAGAAGGCATAAGGTGAAAAAAAATATTCTGGGCTTTTAATTTATTCATTCGCTCTACAAATACTCATAACACAACTATCCTGTATTAGGCACCACTGTGTTAAATGCTGGGGGTATGGTAGAGCAGAGGGCAATACCTGCCATTAGCAAATTAGAGCACTAGATAAATGAGGGAAGATTATATCACTGGTGGGACAATAAGATAGAAAACAGTTTGGTGGCTCTTTAAAATGTTAAACACAGAGTTACCATATGACCCAGCAATTCCATTCCTAGGCATCTATCCAAGGGGATTGAAGACCTAGGCCCACTTAAAAACTTGTTCACCAATGTTCATAGCAGCATTATTCATAGTCACCATAAAGTGGAAATAATCCAAATGTCCATCACCTGATGAATGGGTGAAAAGAAAATTGGCATATAGATACAATGGGATATTATTCAGCCATAAAAATAGGGATGTACATAAGTATATATTGTTACATGCTACAACAGAGACAAACCTTGAAAACATCAGGCTAAGTGAAAGAAGTGAGACAAAAAAACCCTACATATTGTGTAGTCCATTTATATGAAATGTCCAAAATAGGTAAATGCATAGACCGAAGAGGACTTGTAGTTGCCAAGGGCTGGAAGGAAGTTTGGATGGGAAATGACTGCTAATAGGTATGGGTTTTCTTTTTGGGGTGATAATATGTTCCAGACTTAGATATTGGAGATGATTGCGCAGCTTTGAAAGTGCACTAAAGACATTGAATTGTACACCTGAAAAGTTTGAACTTTATGGCATGTGAATAAAAACAATTATGACAGAAAATAATGCATTCCGTCAGAGGTGCTATGGTGGCACCCTGAGGTGGCACTAAGTCAAGATTTGGGGGTTGGGAAGAACAAGACAAGCTCGTCTGAAGGCATGACGGCTAACTCCACTCTTAAAGGATAAGTAGGAATTAATCAGGCAAAGGATGTGGAGATGGACATATCCTGTGACAAACAGAATCCTATGACAAACTCCCGTTCTTCATGAATCTTTCTCTCTACCTCTTTGACGTAGTATATACCTGTTCCCTTGCTGAGACTTTATCCCCCAAAGCTGTGCCAGCTTGAGGCCACTTGTTTCCACATTTTCTGGGGTGGTCTGGTAGTGGGTGGGTTCTGCAGTCTCCCTTAGTTCCCGCAATCTTTGCTTCAAAACATCTCTGCTTTGGGGCGCCTGGGTGGCTTAGTCGGTTGAGCGTCCGACTTTCCCTTAGGTCATGATCTCGCGGCTCGTGGGTTCGAGCCCCATGTCGGGTTCTGTGCTGACTGCCAGTTCAGAGCCTGGAGCTTATTTCAGAGTCTGTTTCTCCCTCTCTCTCTGACCCTCCTGTGCTCATGCTGTCTCTCTCTCCTAGAAATAAATAAAAATATTAAAAAAAAAATCTCTGCTTTATTATCATATAAACATCATCTCTCATCTGTCCTGCACCACGCTTCATGGCAACTGGTATAGTAGCCACATGGCAGAGGCTTTAACGGTTGTGAAGAAGGAATGGGTATAGTTTAGCTGGTGAACTTTTTGTCAGGACAGAATGTTCTGCTCTCCAGGGTCTGGCCACGGTACACTAATGAGGCATTCCCATCATAAGTTTTGGAGAATTTCCATTTGCAGTGAGAAGGTCAAGTTTATTTTTTTATTTTTTATTTAAAAAAATGTTTCTTTTTAGAGAGAGTGAGTGCGCGTGCATGCATACAAGCAGGGAAGGGGCAGAGAGACAGAGAGGGAGGGAGAGAGAATCCCAAGCAGGCTCCTCACTGACAGCACAGAGCCTGACACAGGCCTTAACCTCAGGAACTATGAGATCATGACGTGAGCCAAAATGGAGAGTTGGACATTTCACCAACTGAGTCACCCTGGTGCCCAGAGAAGGTCAGTTTATTTCCACAGGTGATCGAGAGGTGGCCCTTAACCGTTTGCACCACAGGTTGAATTTTGGGTTCTTGGGGTATTGTTAGTAAAAGGCCCCCTTATTCCCATTCCTTTCAACAAGGCAGTGTTTATGACGGGGTCTTTAACATTGACCCTGGCCCGCAGAGGAGAGCCACTCGTCTCTCCGTGAGTTTGGTTCTGTTCTGACCAGTGCATTTCTGATGGCCTTGGTGACTGGGTGTCCTCTGGGTCCTTCCATGGACCATAATCCT